TCCCTGATTTTTGTTTACAAAATATAGAACATATTTTCTCCAAATATTATGACCAAATTCTTTTCACATCATTTTAGTAGTTCCATGAATGCCAGTCAAGCTGCCTGTGTGTACAAATGAAAAGTGCTTTTGTGTGATTATTGTGAGTTACAGGACTGTGATAATCTGTGTTACCTCTAGTATAATTGGAATGGAAAGCAAGTCCTATTAATGCTATTTTACAATAAAGTTGATGATTTCTTCTGTTTTTTTTTTTTTTTTTTTTTTTTCTTCTTCTAAGTGGAGTGTTTGTAGTACAAGAAGGAATGCAGTGGATCTTTTAAGTCGCACATGTCTGAACATTTTTTGTGGGTTTTTTTTTTTTGGTTTTTTTTTTTTGGTTTTTTTTTTTTGGTTTTTTTTTTTTTTGCGAGCCCTTTGAAATCTTACAAAGACTTACAGGGCTCTCATAGCATCAAATGGTAGCACTTGTTTATCGTCCCCACCAGGCCCAAGAAGTATCATTCTGTGGGTCTCAGATTCCAGTGGTGCTAGGAAGCAACTGATGCATTAGTAAGTTACGAAAAGTGGCATTGCGTGCACTGGAAGGCTAATGAGAGTAGCAATTATATTTTATATCATGCACTTCAAAGAGAAACAACTCAGTGAAAAATTCCAAGAGTGTGATATCAGAAAGTTCCACAGCTTTGAATTCATGAACATTCGGGTGTTGTTTGTGCTGACAAATACATTTGTTAACCTGGCAGCCTGTGTAAGCTATTGGAGAAGAGTTGGAAGAATAAAAAACAAAATACTGGCTGGAATATAAGCATCACATTCAGAAAGGTATAGACAAGATCAGAGATATCAAGGACTTAAATAGCTATGTTAACATAACATTTAAGAAAGTGATGTTTATAGTCAAATCTTTTAATATTCGTTCCCTTATGTCTTACAAAAATAGAACTGAATCAGCGTTTTAAAATTTATGGGTATTGAATTCTTTACTAAGTAAAACAGTTAAAAAGTAAAGTGTTTTTGTTACTGTTATACACTGTTAGTTTTGAGAGCTTGCTATAATCCTGATTAAGTAAAGGGATTATGATTAAGTAAACCAGATTATACATCTGGTAGTAATTAGATGGAACAGTTACCATCTGAGGACATAGTGTTTCCACTGGAAAAAGAAAAAAATCACCTAACTAAAGTACTTCTGATATATTTTCCCTTTATCTTCACAAATTATATCACCTAGATTTATTACCATTGCATCACCTTTTTTCCAGTAAGTAGAACTGCAGAATGCCTCATAGAGGAGAAACACCATCAGACTGTGAAATACTTTGAGTATTGTGAAGAAAAAAAAACCCAACAACTGTGGGATTATTTTCAGAGTGATGTTTGAATAGAGAAAATATCAGAGAATCTTCATGGCAGAGATCATCATCTTTACCAGATGATTGAGCAGAAGAAAGACTTAATGCCAAGAGACAGTTAATAGTTTCAAAAAGTTGTTGGTAGCAACATCATCTCTGAAAGCATTTAATATTTATATTATTACAAAATTTAATTCGGAGGGTAACTCTATATAGATAAAAAGGTAGATCAGATGACCTATGTTATCTACTCCCATTTTTATTTTGTGGTTCTTTTGAGAGATTTAAGTGAAAAGCAAATTATATACATGAAATATTTAAAAGAAAAATAAGGTTTAAAAATAATGTAAGAGAACTTGCTGAATGAGTTGTTAGACAGCCTGCTCTGAACAATGGCTACCTAAGGTGAACCTAGTCTGGTGATTAACATTAGCCAAGATTAAGCAGATGGATTATGATGTCTTTTTGAGCTGCGCACGCTTGGAATAACACTGAGGATGTTCAGTTCATTCGCCATAGATAATCACACGTACAATTTATGAATCTCTGAAAAGAAACTAACTACAATTTTATTTACATAGGATGTGACAGTGGGTGAGTACAATGAAATTACATGCAATAGTTGACAGCTATAAGGCAGTGGTTATATCCTTATAGTCTAGAATAAACTGTTCCTTTTAGTGTCTTTATTAAACTGAGCATTTTTGTGTAAAAACTTTGAAAGACTGATTTGGTTTGTGAGAATGCAGGCAATGAGATTCAGTTCTGAATTCTATTCCAGTCTTTTGAAGAATCAAATTCTCAGTGTTGTAGTTATCTTAACAGACGTTGTGAATCATGTTAAGAACATTTAACTATAGATTAATTTTAGGAGAAAGTGTGATCACCTGTAGAATGAAACAGCAATTTATACAGTACGTTGATTATTAATTTGTTAAATATTTGGTATTTGTAAGTTATAAGATAATTGAAAGATGCATAAGAATTTTCCATGGTTAAAATTAATACTAGAATGTGTTCAGATGTAGTGTGCTATGCAGCCATCAGTTCCCTGTTAAAACTATCATTCATTTTATGGGTAAAGAAGACTTCTTTGTTACTTTTGTACATTCAAATTATTTCATGTTATCAAATTCAAATTATTTCATGTTATTATATTCAAATCATGTGCATGTTATTATTATTTTACTTTCTTTCCTTTTCAGTCTAATAATTATTTCCATGTAAAATATATTCTGTTTCTATCCTAAATACTGATGCTTGCATAACCGGATGTTTAACACCGGTACAAGCATCCAGAACAACTTCTGAGATTCTAATTCAAAGGTGATTTTTATCAGCAGCCTCAGGAGAAAATCTACCTTAAAAAGCCTATTGTATGAATGAATATTTGTATTGTTCGATGAAATTTATTTCCATTTTTTATGAAGAGTGAGACATTGTACAAATTAGCTGAGAAGCTGAGTAGTTCCCTGGCTATTGAATGTCACAATGGTTTGCTGCAGATACCTGTCTGAACTACTTTAGCTAGCTGAAGTCATCTTGGTCAGTTGAATGGGGTAATTTGGCATGCAGATCACTGAAGAACATTTCTGCTGTTATTGATGTCCTTATAGTACATTTTCTGAGCAGAATTGGTTCACTTTGTAGCTAGCAGTACAAGTGCCCTGGAAGAATTTCCTCTAGGAACATCACTAGGTATAAGAATGAGGCATGAGACTTAAAATGCCTGATCTAAATTGTGTCCCTAGGCTTAACATATCTGCCAAAACTTCCGTTTAGAACTGTAGTGAAAAATGCGGCAGCTAATGACTAGGTGTGTCAAAAATGCCAAGCAACTGTATCTCTCTATGATCTCAGTACAAATAGATCTCTGCCCTATCACTGCTCAAAAGCAGTTTTTCTAGCCATCATGGACTGGCTTGTGTAACTTGCTGCTGCCAGGCTTGGAAATTTCTCCCTGCATATTCCTTCCAGTTTTTTTTTTTGTTGTTTTGTTACTTTAAATGGAGATTTGATAACCTAAATATATGTGCATACGCATACTTCATTCTGTACAGATCTGTTCTTTTTTTTTTTCAGTCATACTACTTAAAATGAATATGATTTACCACATATACGGTATATTAGAAGATGACGTTTTTTCCTGTACCCTAATCGTTGTCCAAAAAGAAAAAAAAAAAAAAACCTAACCAAACAAACATAATTTTTGTAGTGAGAGCAACATTTCAAAAGATATTAACTTTCCATAAAGGGAAAACACACAAACTGAAAACATTTTTTTTTTTTCTTTGAAAAAGACTAAGAACACAGTAAGAGAAAATTTTGTCAAATCTGACTTCATTTGAACTTTGTGTTGAGAATTGGCAACATTTTCTTATTGATATTGAAATTGAAACATGTAGTAAATAGTAAAATATTTCAGAAGACTTTGCTGTAGTTTTATTAAGAAAAAACACAGAGTAGCCAGAAGAGATTGTTCCATTAGTCAATATGGCGGCTGCATCAAGGTGACACTTATTTTGAGGATTAATATTCCCTGAGGCTGCTACACAGCTTTTTAGTAGAACTGTGCTGAAATTCCTTCTTCAAGGCTGATTAGATGATTAGTCATATCTATCCTACATTCTAGACAAGGTGAACTAATCATTCAGATAAAGCAATTTTATTCAATTAAAGGATTCCAGTTAAGGTATCTGTATGTAGATCAGATTCACAGGGAATGCTTGTGGTGAGAGTGGTCCACTCTCAAGCATGAAAACTATCTATAAAGTCATCAGAAACAATCTGGCATCTATTTAAAAGACCAGTATTTAAGTTTATCACTTACCGAAAACTATTACTTCTGCTGAAGAATACCTAAGGTTGTTGTGCCTTCATAAGGACTTTAAAGACTTCTGTCTTTACAAATAAATATGATTTTTAATGTTTTTCAATTAGTTTAAAATATCAAAGTGATTTATTATGAAATATAAGATACTATAGAAAAGCAAGTGATTTGTTGATTTATAACATACCAAAACTTTAAAACATGCTTTGGGCCTAATTCTCATATAATTTACAATGTAGTAAACCAGAAATCATTTCTCTGAATCCAATGGATTTGCCTTGGTGTAAAACTAACATATGAGATCAGAATGAATTGTACTGTTTCAGTTTTGTTATTTTGTACTGAATATGGACTGAGCCAAGGCACAAATTGCTCTCTTTTCATAAAGATTTTACTAATGTATTAAATCTGAAATGCTGTCATTAGCTTCTTTCTCAAGAAAGAAAACATCTACTTATCATTCCAGACTGACAAAGTGCCTTCTTCTAAGGAAAGGTCTCTTGTACCAAAATAAGAGATTTGAAATTACATAGGAGAGTGCTTGGGAATACTTACAAGTGGAGCTATGCTAACTTAATCTGACAGTACTGGAGTCTTTGTGGAATTTAGAGATAACAGCTTGGATCCATTTAAATCCAATGATTTTTGGCATAACTAGCTGCTGTTCCTTTCTTATAAATTCTCTGGATTATTTTTTTTCTAAAATTAAGACTGTGTTATTGCTAATTGTAAGAAAACTTTCACATTCATCTCTCTCTTTTTTTTTTTCTTTTTTTTCTTTTTTTTTTTTTTTTTTTTCCCAGAGTGCTGCCAAAATGAGTGAATCTCTTTCAAGCAGTTACTCCGTGAATCAGCCAAACTCCTCTGAGAGTGAACAGAGTTTATCTACACGCCATTTCAATGTTACTGAACCTGTAGTGGCCAAAAGGATCTGTTTTTATAAAAGTGGAGATCCTCAGTTTAATGGAATCAAAATGGTCATTAACAACCGGTCTTACAAAACATTTGATGCCTTGCTGGACAGCTTATCTAAACGGGTCCCGTTACCTTTTGGAGTAAGGAATATCAGTACGCCAAAAGGGAGACACAGCATCACCAGTCTGGAGGATCTTGAAGATGGAAAATCTTATATTTGCTCCCATCAGAGGAAAATGAAGCCTATCAACCTAGAACAGGCTAGCAGAAAACCACTGCCCTGGCAGATCAGTAGGCCTGTCAGTGCTCGTCGTAGAGCTGTGCAATTAGCAAAGGAGAATGAAGATGGATTTGGCCATCAAGAAAGCAAAATAACAACTCCCAAAAAGATGCTTGTTTTCAAAAATGGAGATGTAAGACTCAGACGCACCATAGTTCTGGGAAAGAAAAATACACAAAACTTTGAGGCCTTTCTGGATTACATGAGTGAATTAATGCAGTATCCAGTTGCAAAACTTTATACCACTGATGGCAGAAAGGTGAGAATGAAAATGAGCACTGATGATTGCTTTATGTTTGCTTCTAGAATATTTTTTAGAAAACTGATGATTATATCACTTGGGACCCTGACATGGTGTAGTTTAATGTGCTGAATTTCAGCTGTCTTCCCTCTGTAAGGCTAACTAGCTTGGAGGAAATAATTGCATACAAATCTTGTAATCGGAGAGAAGCAAGCAGGAACATTGTATTTCAAGTCATCAAGAAAAGTAACTTTTCTTTTTCTTTCTTAAGCCTCTTCCAGTTATAATCTCAGTTATATATAGAAATATATATATTTTGCCTAATTACACAGATATTTCCCTTAGTATTTATGCAATTTTTCTGTTTTTAAATGTTTTATAAATACTATAGGTAGTATCTGATAGACATAGATATTTTATTATTGCACAAATGGGGAGTGGTTTGCTAGTTAATTACTTGAAATTAGGAGATCTCATTTTCTTCAGTTCCTGAACAACAGACCAAGTTTTGTACCTTAAGCCAAGAAGTTGCAGCAATAATAATTCTGGTTTTCATTTCACACATTGTTCTATACAACTTCATTTCAGTATTTAACAACAGAGGGGACTTGTGGTTGTACCTGAAGACATGAATCTGGGAAGGGAATTCCATGCGGAGTGTCTGTTGAGGGCAAATCTTCGATTAAATTCTACATTAGGTTGGGAAACTCTTCATATGTCTGAGAAGTGCAGTTTACAAGCCTCATTTTGCAATATATCTTGGAATATAAATTCAAAGATTTTAGACGGCCCCTGAACAACTTGATCTGAAGTTAGACCTTGTTTGAGCTGCGAGTTACACTAGATGATATCCAGAGGTCTTTCCCAACAGAAATTGTTCTAGGATTCTGTCCCGTTCCTCTGTGGTGGTACATATGAAGTATGTAGTCTGTGTAGTTTGTGATGTAGTCTGAATTTTCCATTTCTTCCTCTGTGTTCATATGTATACCTACCTACAAAAGCACATTCTTTTTCCATGGCTGTATATTATAAGGAAATTTTATCTGTATCCAAGTCTTCTTAAACTCTTTTTCTAGTATACTTATATAACAAGACATACCCTCAGAGAGAGAAATTTCCATATAGGAATTGAAAAATTAATTCTGCTCTGTGTTACATATTTAATAGCCAGCTGTAAAATAATGTAGAGACTAAGAAGTGAAGATATTAAAGCATGAAAAAGATAAATCTCTTACATTATTTTTTGTGGTTGCTGAGATGGAGAAATTAATGTTATGGTGGTGGGTTGTTTTTTTTTTTTCCTTTTTTTTTTTTTGCAGGTTCCTAATCTTCAGGCCCTGATATTGTGCTCTGGAGCTGTAGTTGCAGCAGGGAGAGAGCCTTTTAAACCAAGTAATTATGAATCTCTTGGGTATTCACGGCCTGCCAGATTACTTGGAATTGCAAATCGTGTGTACCCCAAAGCAAATTTGAAGTCAGAAAGTGAAAACAGTAAGTTCTTTGAATTAATTTGTATTTTACTAATTGGTTCATCTCTCACAGCATAAAATATAAACCATGACAATCTTACTGGGATCAAGGATATTCAGAAAGACCAAGTGAAACTGTTTATTTTTGTTCTAAATCATCTGTAGGAATTAGAAAGATAAAATTAAGTTTTTTTTAAAGTTAATTTTCCTTTTAAAATATAAGTTTCTGCTAAGAACTCAATTTGCGTATTTTCTCTCAAACTGGCTGATTTAGAACAAGGATTCAAATCAAGATGTATATTATATTTCAATGAACTTGATTGTTATTGTTGTGTTAATGCACTTAATTTTCTTTCTTTTCTGGGGGGAGGGGTATTACATTTAATAATAGCAGAGGTAAAAGAGACCCCAAAGGTTACTTCAGAATCCTTAGCTAGCCAAATTGATTGAGAAAAACTTTTGTGCAGTTTTCAAAATTTAGCAAATGGCAATTTGGCTTATTATCTTGACTTTCACATTTTCCTATGTCACATAGTCAGCATAGACATGAAATTCATTGTAACACTCATCCACTTATAAACTCAAACTCTTTTTGTGAAGCCTACAGAGATTGTCACTCTTTCCCATATTCTCATACCCGTGATATATGCTTTTCTTTTGACTACTCAAGAAATTGTGCCACTGAGAAATTTCAGTGAATGTGAGATTGCTAGATTAAGAATATGAAGAGAAGCCAGGCCAGCTGGAAAGCCTCAGGCTGTGGGGAACAAAATGATGCAACAGTAGGACTTTAGGACATGCATGAATCCTTAGCCTTACAGTATGCTGTAGGCAGAAGTGCTGTCTCAGAAGTTGTTTAATCCAGAGGTACTTCGCTCTCATGATATACTTGTATGCTGTATTGTAAAGCTCGGGGTATGCTGTAATTGTTTCTATACTGAGATTTTTTCCATGGCAACTTCACAGCGTCCTGCTGTATAAGACACTGAGCTTCCATTTACTTGAAGAGATTTATTCCGTATCCCTCACAGTTTGTAATGTATCTACCAAACTATTCATTTCGGTTTTTCTCAGTCTTCGCAGCCTTTGTGTTCTTGACTTTCATAGCTTGAGAGCTGTTTGCAAGGCATCAGTAATGAGTCAAAGGAAAATGAATTGGAACATTTTGTGAATGAAAATTCTGGAGTTCAAAATTCCTCTTGAAATTCTGCTTTGAGTCAGAAATCTAGGCTCGAAATGATGTTTAAAAAAAAAAAAAAAGTGAATAGTTGAGAATATGATAAACTTTGTCTAATCCTTAGTTAACAGGAATAAGAAAGAAAAAATAGTCAGAGATTCTTTAACTGAGACAAAAAAAAAAAAAACCAACGAAAAGCCTCATATTCCATGCAGTGATTATCACATTAATAATAATGCCTGAATTGTTAAATTTTTTGAAAATAGAGGTCGAGATTTTACTTTGGAAAACACTGGGTTTGGTCCTTGTTAGAGGAATTAGTAAAAATTTTTATTTCTGATTCATGGGAAAGTATATGAATGAGAAACTCACAACACATTTCTCCTGAAATTATAGACACCAAAAATGGAGATTACTTCTCCACAGAAGGTCAGTCTTGGGGACTGAATCTGAAACATTTAGTCACGGATGTCAATAACACTGCTCATAGTAATGACTCATATCTTGCAGATTGTTGAATTAAGAGATGTATTTACATATTGACTGACACATTTTAGCACTCACTGTTAGGACTAACAGGAGATGATATGCAAGTGATTGTTAAGGAAAAAATATAATGGAAAATATAACGAAAATATAAAGTTAGCTTAAAGCTCCAACAAATGCAGGCCTATGAAACTCTTGAAAAGTTCAAGGTAACCTCATCTCCCAGATGAGTACACAATGAGAACATGTATTATATTTTCAGGCTTTGGAGCTTGAAGTAGAAATATAGCTCTGGCATTTCAGTGTCTATTAAAAAAAAAATGGAAGAGAAAAAGTAGTTAAAACCTCAATATTTTATTAAAACTTTGTTGCATTTTGCTCTCTAAGAATTTCTGGAAGTCAATAGCAAACATTTTAATGCTTTTTCTCTTTCTAATACTCTAGGAAATAAACTTTATTAAATTCCTTTGTACTAATTTTTCTCATTTCTTCTTCTCTCTTTGTTTTTTCCTTTGCTGCCTGTCTACTGTCTGACCATCTGGATCCTTATCCATCATATCTGTCTACTCTACTCTCCATCTACTGAATGAACTTGGGTTCTTTAAATGTAATTGTTGGTAGCGAGAGCTGAAGTGATGTCTAGCTCAAGATCTCAAATATTCTCCGTTTCTTCTGGTAAAGGGTCCAGCAATGATAACAATTTAAATGATAACAACTCAGATTCTTCCTATCTTCCTGACAATCATAAAAACATAGGAGGAAATCAGATAGTTAATGGGGAAGACTTATCTGTGGCACAGTTTGAAGATGACATTGAGAAGTCTGTTCACCTTAATCAAGATGGCAGTATGACAGTGGAAATGAAAGTTCGATTCAAAATTAAGGAGGAAGAAACTATTAAATGGACAACCACTGTAAGTCGTGCTGGCTTTCCTGATGAAAAAAATGCCACCATTTACAATTCTGTGATGAGTGCAGAAGACTGCTTATCCAGTGTAAATGTATCAGAATGTATAAAACAAAAGGATGCTCCATTTTTGGACAGCTACGGTGAGGAACAAGAGTCATTAAAGCAACTGCACACAGAAGTCTCAGATAAAGAATCAGAGTCTGATTTAAAAATGGATGTTTATAATATCTGTCAGAGGAACAATTCTGCTGATCTAGATGTAAGCAATGTTCCTGAGGAAAATATCAGACCTCATTTTTATAGGCCTCCCACCCCTGGGCCAAGACGTGTTAGAAAAAAGAAAGCAGTAGTTGAAAGTGTCACCGTAGTTTCTGAGAAAGAGGTTCAGGAGAAAACAATGGGACAGTTTTCCTACAGTGAGGAAATACAGAATGGAGAAAATACATCTGAGTATTGTATGGTAGCACAATCAAACACAAAAAAATCAAGTGTCAGTAATCCAAAGATTAGTGAGATGAGTGACAATGACTTATTAAAACTTTCTTCAGAGAATAAAAAAGAAGAAATGCTTTTCAATGTAAGGCACAAAAGTCATGATTTAATCAGGACCACAGATAAGGAAATATTAGATTTATCAGATGAGCCTGAATTGGTACAGAATGTATTAGAGAAATCAGTTATGGAACAAGGTACATATAGTAGTTTAGTATCAACCTGTAAAGCCAACATTAGTGATTTTATGCCATCATCAAAAATATGCAAGGCAGCCAGGCCAGTTTCAGCAGACCATATTCATGAGTTATGTGATATAAAACAAACAAGAAGATCTCTCAGCTCTTACATTAAATATTCAGAATTTTCTCAGTCAGAAAATGAAAAAATAAAATGCAAGACTTCTGATTTATTAACTTTTTCTCAAGATTCTTTGCATTCAGCCTGTCATCATAATCAGATGGAGATGGTGGCACCTCCATGTAGTAAAGCACCTACTGAGAAAATAAATCCAACAACTGGATTCTTTTCTACTGTTAATGAAACTGAGAATCAAATCAATGTCTGGTCTGAATCTGTGATGGCATCACATCTGACTGGTGAAAGCCAATCTGTATCTTCTCTCACCAACAAGAAGAAGAAGAAGAGAAAATCCTTGTCCAATTTTCTAGAGCAGAAGATATATGAAAATCAAAAAGATACAGAATTTTCAGGGATAATTAGAAGTGAGGGAATGCTTATCACAAGCAAAACAACAACTATAGATAGCTGTTCTGACATGCTTCAGAAAAATAGATTACTTGTAAAAAACAATGACGGATCTGCCAATTCAGACAAAAGCAAACATCCTGAATATGAGATATATCACCCTGATTCAGTGGAACAAAATGGAATATCATCATCTAACAAGAAACTAAGAGCTAATAGACAATTGACTGAGGTAAAATTGAAGTCAGGCAAAAATAGTAGTTCCCTTTTATCTGCAAAAAGTGAAGATGGCGTAATGTCAGTTGATTCAAGAACTGAAACTGAAAACAGCCAGGATGAATTGAGTCCTGCAAAAGAAGGCAAACATCTCACAACCAGTTTCTTTGAACAGACACCTAACTCAGCAACAATATCAAATGTGTTGTCAGAAGTGCCTATGGATCATAATGTAGAAAAAGAAAAGGAGAATGTTTTAGAAAATTTAGCATCAAAGAAAGAGAAAAAACAAAAGAAGAAGAAAAATCTAAGTAAAAATAAAAATAAATTAAGTATGTCAGACAGTGCTATCACACTAGAGGCTCTGAAACAGGAGTATTTTAAAGAGCATGTTGTTGAGCATTCACTTGGAAACTACGTCCAAAGTTGGCTGAAAAACCTGTCACCAAATGCTGTCTTGCCACCCATAAACAAAAAAGATGGGAATGTAAACAATGGTGACGACTGTCATTTTTCTAAAGAAAAGATTGGTGCTTTTGTAGATCAAGAAGATAGATATATTACCGATGAAGTACGTATGATTGGAAAGAAACACCTGTTTGAACATAATCTAACTAAGAAACAACTAAAGCCTCTTTTTGAATTGGGAGCTGTAGAAGAGTCAGCCAAACAGTCAAGTGGAAAGCAAACTGACTCTTTGACTCATGATAACACAACATTAGTAGAAGAAGCCAAGTATTTACTACAGTCAGAACTTCATCATGCTAGTAAACTACACTTGTTTCATGAAACACATGTCAATAAAAAGGTGTCAGAAGGTAATATTCAAGACATCAATCTATGTCAGAGAAAACGATCTGAAGTTGCTGTTCAAGTTGATTGTACAATTGGCAATGAGAAAATTGGAACAGATGTTCAGAATAATTGCATGTCTAGTATTTTGCTTCATGAGTTGCAGTCAACTTTGCTTGGTCTCCAGAAAGAACACAGTGGATGTATAGAAAAGACATGCAATCTTCCAGATCTTTCTCTG